ATTGTGGCAAAATTTTATTGGATTTTTCTCAAGAAGAAAGCCCAGGACGAAAGCAATAAATGCTTCGATCGCCGTTCCTCCTTCTTAGAGTTCTTAAAGTCATAGTCTCGCTACTATATCGTTTCGTAAAACCGCCGTGCTAACCGCTTAGTGAAAACCGCTATAAGACAGATCTTTTCGAGAAGTGCCGAGAAAATCGCCGAGATTTTCCATTACCGCTATTCCAAATACAATTTGGAAAAGGTGACCGCATTTAATATTCTGTTAATCTAATATTTAATTAATTATATTTTCTGAATTTGTAACTGTGCATATTAAAGAAAATTCTTTTGTTAAATTACAAAGAAACGGAGTTCTCTTTACTGTCGTGTATCATATCAACCGTGTGCCGTTCTCTCACTCGAATCTTTCCGCGCGGTGCATTCCCGCACAAATTGCGTAAAAATAACTTTACGTTATTTTTTTAAGTCATTTAAAATTTTATATAAAATTTAATTACTATAAGATGCTACATAAATGTTGTATAAATTAAATGCTACATTAAAAAAAAATTTTATCATGAATGACAATGGCAGTCAAAATGTTAATTGTTACAAGCTTTTAACGAAAGAGCGGAAAGTAATAGAATTCATTGTTAGCTGTCAAAACTGCTTCAGATCATCTACGAAAATCAACTATGTTCTCTTACTTTTCTTTTTTTAAGGCAGCGGCTTATACTAAAAGTAAAAATTTTAATGAAAATAAAATAAGAATTTGCGAGGTACAATACATATTATACAATGACAAAAATATGAAACATTGTTGTAGATAGTAATCCAATTTTATACTATAAAATGATGATTTGTAAAATTAATGCAAAAGTGACTCGGCAACTACAAGCTAATTAAGAGATAATGCGAATAAATAATTCTAACGAACGTGGTTTATAAATCAAACAAGATTTATAAAAAATGAGCATAAAACTATACTGGATAATGTTTGTGAAATTTAATTATTTATTATATTAGGTGTACAACTTTGCTTCCGCCGTTTTCCTATAGATGGCTTTAACGGTAAGTGGTGGTCGAAATAAAGAGATCATAGACGTCATACAATAAACTTGGACATCTATCAACATAACCCCATAGAAACATTAGTCGATTTGTGTCTGCATCATAAAGTTATTCTCGATTGAAAATGTCATTTACGAGCCAAATTCTCGTCATTTGCGGGAGGTTTTAATTTTCTGTTTTAATATGAAGAAATCTGCTGCTGAGGCTCATCGAATGCTCTCAAATACTTATGGTGAGGCCACTATTAATGAAGAGCTATTAGTAAAGAACGTGTCATAAGTGGTTTCAACGCTTCAAGAACGATAATTTTAACGTCGAAAACCGGCATAGCGATGGAAGAGAGAAGGTTTTCGAAGATGCAGAATTGGAGGCATTACTTGATCAAGACTCGTGTCAAAATCAAGAAGAATTGGCATTGGGAGTGACTCAACAAGCCATTTCAAAACGCCTCAAAGTTATGGAAATGATTCAGAAGCAAGGAAATTGGGTGCCGTACGAGTTGAAGCCGAGAGATGTTGAACGGCGTTTGTTTGTTTGTGAACAGCTGCTTGAAAGGCAAAGACGGAAGGGATTTCTGCATCGCATTGTAACTGGGGACGAAAAATGGGTTACGATAATCCCAAGCGCAGAAAATCATGGGGAGTTCCCGGCTTCCATGTCGATGGCCAAACCGAATATTCACGGCTCCAAGGTCTGTATTTGGTGGAACCAGCCTGGCGTACTGTATTATGAGCTGTTAAAACCGACTGAAACAATCACAGGCGATCAGTATCGAACGCAATTGATGCATTTGAGCCGAGCATTGAAAGACAAACGGCCGCAATACAACGAGAGACACGATAAAGTGATTTTGCAGCATGACAATGCTCGACCCCATGTTGCGAAAGTGGTCAAGACATACTTGGAAACATTGAAATGGGAAGTCCTACTCCACCCATCGTATTCTCCAGACGTTGCTCCCTCTGATTATCACTTCGATCAATGGCACATGGCTTGGCTGACCAGCACTTCCGGTCTTATGAAGAAGTAAAAAATTGGATCGATTCGTGGATCGCCTCAAAAGATGACCAGTTTTTTCGACACGGGATTCATACGCTGCCCGAAAAATGGGAGAAAGTAATGGCCAGCGATGGACAATACTTTGATCATAAATGTATAACCAGTTTTTTTACTAAAGCCTCGAATTTTGGAAAAAAAAATGGCGGAAGCAAAGTTGTACACCTAATATTATTAGGTGTTGGAATTAATTCGTAGCGTTTTACAAGTGATGGGAAGTACTTTCATTAATGTATTTTTTAATGCTCATGTGAAATAAATAACATTCTTTCATTAAAAACCTAATAATAAAAAATTTAGTTTAGTTTAGTTTCGAAGTTTAGTTTCGTTGGCTACATCTTCAGTAAAATCATAAATATTAGTAAAACGCAGAATTGATATATATCTGAATCGTCGTATAAGATAAATATGTTCTTTCATCTTGTTAAGATGTGAATAATTTATCTTTCTATCATTATTTGTATTTTATACAAATAATGATAAAAAGGGTAGAGCGGAGTTATTCTGTCATTTTCAATCTTAAAATAATATAAAATTTATGGCAATAAACAACATTTTTTTGCAGTAACGTACTTATAACTACCTTATACAATTATGATTGCTTCTTGAGAACACAAATATGACCCTTAAATGTTCAATGTACGTTACTCAAAAACATAAACAATATTGCGAGGAATGGACAAAACAGCTCCGCTTTTCTCTACCATAGAGACAATCTTTTTTATTTAAAGATTTCTCGTTTTAGAAATTAACTTTTATAGTTTTTCATAATTTTAGTTTTTATAAAGAGGTTTCTAAAAAATACATAATCGAGAAATATTGAGCTGAATCAAATCGATAATTATAGATACATAAGAGAGAGATACAAAAATTAATGAATCAAATGCATTATTTGCTTAACGCGATATAAGTGATTTTATACTTTGGTGATAGCGCGGGTGGATTATATTTCCGCCGTATGTGGATAGGTTACCAAAATAAGAAAGTAAGATAGGCGCGATATTAGTTTGATTGACGAGATTTATTCGCACGAGAAAATAGAAACTATTGTATATATCTCTCTTATGTACCTAATTATCGATGGCGTAATCTGTAAACCAGATTTGACTCAACTCAATATTTGCATTTTTTTTTACTTCTTTTCTTTGAAAAATTGTAACACATGCATTAAAATTTATAGGATAGATGGGTTGAACTGCATTCCAAAATTTCGTACAATCAGTGAATGAAATTATAATATATTCTTTATAGAATATATTATAGAATCAGAGAAAACTGAAGTAAATTACTGATTCAAATAGATTCCAAACGTGAAACAGAGATCGTAATAAGGGATTCAAACCCATGTCTAAAGGAGACATTCGATCTTATAAAAGAATTTGTGCTCGTAGGATTCTGGCTGGATCAATCTGAATTACTTATAAGGCTAAGGTTAGAAGACTAATACTCTTGTCTAATCCATTTTAAAAGCGGAGATCGAAAGAATCTGCTCTGGATATCTTCCAATAAGAATCTTCTCTATCTCAACTTTTGAAACAAACAAGTTTTATCTAGCATATTATCTGACATTTCGGAAGATATTTTTAGTGAAACTTTGTTTAAAGTTAAAATTTTGGAATGCAAACCCGGTCTAATGAGCGATCTCATATCTATTTAAGTATAAGTTTATGCGTTCAGCATATGACACATTAGCGTGTCATGTAACTGACACTTTAAATTGAGATATAAAATTCATAAGTATGTAATGCCTTAATGTTACGATAATATTGGGAGTGTTGTTGTATAATTAGCTGACAGAATGGAGCGAATATTTACGAAAAAGAGAGGACGCTAAAGCACGTTAACACACAAAATGCCGAAGACGCGATTGAAGTCTCCATTTTGTTCGCGATATTTGATATTTTCTTATAATTCCGAGAGAGAGAGAGAGAGAGAGAGAGAGAGAGAGAGAGAGAGAAAATGAGAGAATGAGAGAGAATAAGAGAGAAAACAAGTATGCAAGTCATGTGTGTTCTATAGCGAATTGCTATCTAAACTAGTTCAAGCTGGATGTCAATGTTTGTAGCAGATCAGAACTGCAGCACAGTATATTGTAATTAAAAAGTCATTAATATCATGGATTATTTTATTTATCTAACCTACTTATTTATCGTAATTTATCATAATTTTGGTAATACAATGTATCGAAAAAAGTATATATTACATATGTATTATCAATTAATTTATGTCAATATTTCTGTTTGCTGAGAACAAATACTAATTTTGAGATATTAATAATTTTCCGATCTATTTAAAAGAACAAATATATTATACAATTTTACAGATATTTATATAACTTAATTTACATTTTCACAAAAGGCAGAAATAAATAGTGTTTCATAGTGTTTCTAAAATATTAATAAGTTGAATTAAAATTATTATTTGTTATGTTTGTGAGGTCGTTTTTATGTTTCTTCTTCGTTATAGGAATTTCGCAATCTCTATAAAGTACATCACAGTTTTCACCTCGAATTCCCGCTGCACCTGCATCTCTCACAAGGCGATCCCAACCTGAGGATAACTTGAACGATTTTTCTATGTTTTTCCTGTGAAAAATCGTAACGTTAAATCTTAATACAAATTAAGTTCATATTTAATTAAATTTAGATTCAATAGGAATTATATGAACGGATATGCAAATTTTATTATAATTCTGCTTTTAAAAGCAGAAAACGTTTCTATTGAATTCAATTATACATATAACTGGAACGTAAAATTTTTCCGTATTTTTCCTTTTTTTTTTTATTATTTTTTAATTTTATATTAAGTTTCTAGTGTTAATTGCCATGTTGAAAATAATAACAACAAAACCTACGTCAAGTACTTTGCCAGCATTTTACCCGGTGTGCCCAAATCTTTAAAGAGCTTGCGATTTTCAAGACAAATCGTCTTCTGTATGCAGCGTATTCTAGCATCACTATTAAGAATCTCTTCCTCCTCTGGGGTCTGAAAATTCGTGAAAAATCTTAATCTACTACTGAACACAAAAATTTTTGCTGCGAAGTCTGGTTCATGATTTATTCTAGCAATTTTGTTTCGCCAACAGAAACGAAATGTTTCATCACGGTAAGTAAGCTTTCGAGTTTCCAGCAAACTTGCCTGACTATATTCGCGATTGAATTGAGACGAGTGATAAAAATTTGAAATTTAATTTGTAATTTTTCAAATGTATCTTTAAATTGAGAGAATTTTCTTCTGAATACAATTAATAAATTCTGTAATTTAAAAAATATCGAAAACGTAAAAATTCAAATTTGAGTTCAGAAACTTATTGAAAAGAAAGTTCTGCATAATTTATTAATTCCATTTAAACATTATAGAATTTTAAATATTTTTGATTGAAAGGATCCCCTTTAACATAACATTATCACAAATTACGTACCACGGAACGAAAATCATGCGTAACATAAACGTCCCGCTTTTGCCTGGACGATAATAGATCCATTATCGCATCCTTCCGCTTAATAGCGCTAAGCGTATTCTGTATAATCGCCAAAAGCAGCAGAAGACCGATGAAACTGACTATTACAAGCTGTTTTGATGACGGTCCGATGGAGTGCTCTATTGACTGTGCTACTGGATATGCAACATTGGGATATTCATATCCATACGGTATGTTTTCGCTTCTATGATGCAGAAACGCTCGTTGAGGCACTAAAATATTTTTTTTTAATATTAACAATATGTATCATGTAAATGAAGCTGTGACTAAATTTTAAGCCTTCATATACTTATAATATATTATTATTATTATTATTATCAATTAACAAATACTTCTTTAAAGAACTTTTATAGTTATTACTTATATAAAATAATATACAATCATAATTGTTCTGTTTTTAATCAAAACAGTGCTATTTTGTAATTAGATATGTATTATTTAATTATTCGAATGATTAATTACATAATTTTTCGTACTACTAAAATTAGTAACATATAACATTTGCTTTTTTTAAATAAGTCCCATTTTCTAAAAAGTTACAAACAAATTGTGTATTTTAAATATATTTTTTTTTTTCTCTTAAGTAATATAAGCGATGCATTTCAATTTCAAAAATGATTTCTCGGCTTTGAGATGTTAATGCGACGACCGAAGCGCGACATGTTGAGCTTGATTATAGCCGCGCACAAAGGATAAGTGATCAAACGACGCCGTCTCTTTCTCTTAGAGTAACTAAAATAGAAAAATCTTTACCGGAGAAAAAGTAATCCGAGGGCAGCATCGGTTGCAGCGTCGGCGGTGGAGGTGCGAGGGTCGCAAGGATTGCTCGCGTCATATCCGAATGAAGCACCGGCTCGATTTTACTTTCCATCCCCAAAGACGAGCCATTTCCGGAAGTAGGTAAGAACACCGCAGTTTTCGTATCCTGACCGGCGATTAAAACCGCGAACGTGCTGAGTATCGGAAATATTTTCATTCTCTAAAGGAAAACAGCGCTTCTTTTCACCAACACAAAACAAAGACTTATATGACTCGTCGGATTTTCAATCGGGTTTTTATTCAAGTTTCTCCTAGTAGAAGACCGAACGACTCGGCTATGACGTATTACTGACAATAAATGGACAAGATGTCGTGAACAGCCAAACCGTCAGTCACGAGGGAATTCTCTCCTTCGTGATGCATCGAATTCGACACAGTCGAGACAACGAAAAAAATATATGAATAATTTCGGGAACGACCGAGGTGATTATTCGGCCCGTTGAACTGTCTGATGAGTTTACAGACCGCGACAACTACAATGAGTTAATACTACACTTTATTCCATTGGGGAAGTTTTTTTCTAGAAATTGTGCTTTCTTTCTTGTCGAAGAAATAACTCAATTGTGTGCGGATTTTAATGTCTTGAACCATCTACACAAGAATGGATAGTGAAATCTTTCAGGAAACAAGACATTTTTACTACCTTCAGCAGGGGATATAACAAAATGTTTAATTACACAACTAAAAATTAATCTTTTATTGTACGCAATATATACTTTTTGAAAGATATCGACTAACACATTATCGAATAAAATTATTTTCCAAGACCTTGTTATAGACCTTAAAGCTGCTATTTACTTATAAATTCGTTTGAATCGTTTAACTCGAGTGATACATCCATTACTGAAATCTCTCGAGGTACTTTCACTGAACATTAACAATTTTCTGCAATTTCTACTTGAAAATTTTGAGAAACTTAAATATCGATGACAACAGTTTGTCAAACGATATTATAGAAGATTTTCTAGAAACGCCAAGGAAAAAGTATTTTGATCTTATTGTAGAACGTTTGATGGAACTTTCGCACTAATTTACTATTGAATTCTTAAGACTCGCGCTACGGTCTAAATTAAAATGCGTGGAAAAGAGAGTGGAAACTGTGTTCCGCGCAAAGATATTCCAGCGACGAGGAGCGAGACGGCACGATCGAGGGGTAAATCGGTTGGTTAACCTAGCTGCTGAATGCAAGGGGTTGCTATGGCGATGGAACGACGAGTGGGGAAAAGGGAGCTTGGAGGGTTTGTCTGTCTGCAACCCTTCTAAAGGGGATGATGTCCTTCGTGTGCTGTCTGTAGCTCCTATCCACGTCATCACTTGTCAAATGTAACGTCGCAGCTTCGATATCTTTCAACTTTAAGCGTCCATGAAAGCATCTTTTTATAATATGTTTTTTATATATTATATCTATAGTAAATATTAAATTAAAGTAATAATTGCTGTTTACTCTATGTATTATATTATTATAAATAATTTATGTACAATATATTTAATTATAATAAAACAGTAAAATGATATTTCTTCTTTCTGGAAAGATGATCAAGGAAAAGATTATTTCATTTGAATATATTTTTACCTCTTTATAATATTTCTCTTTTCTATTTTAATGAGGAAGAACTTCTTTGTAAGAATATTTTTGCAAGTATTGCCGAGAAAATTGCACGTGTCGCGCGCATTTAGTATCGAAGACAAAAATGCTTTGCAAACGAATATCTAAAACAGGCAGAACTTCCATTATCTTTCACAGCTCAGTTGACTCTCTAGGGCTGATAATCCAAAAGGAAACACTTCACGCTCTGAGTGTCTCACCACCCACTTATACTTCTCATTATCATGACACTACGCAAACATAGTACTTTGTTCATTATTCATACCTGCAAAGATCTCCATCTTGTTGCTATCTTATAAGAAGAATCTTTTTTTCAAGCTTAGAAAATAAAAAATAATATGGAGGCTGTGTACATATAATTTACAATATTCTTGAAAGATTAAAAAAACTATCGTAATTTTGGAGAATAAAAGACAGAGATTTATTTTACAGAAAGAAAATTATTCGAAAGTCAATTTACACTTATCAACATATTTTAATTATAATAATAATTTATATATTATATAAGATTTATAATCTATATAGTTTTAATAAATGTGCAATAAAATAAAAAGAAATATATATAAAATATTTTATATATTTATTTTACTTCACATTTAGATGGTATTAAAACATTCTAACATTGCGTATTCATCACACACGTTCAGTTTTTCAGAGTAGTATCTACTCTCGTCGAATGTCTCGCGTCGCTTATTGCCACTTTATCGTAGACAACAAAAGGCGATGTGCTCTTTTTTCCAAAGTCGGCGAACATCGCGACTACATATCGGGGTCACATCGATGGACACGCCGCGTGAACGAGCCGCTATTTTACGCCAACGCGACGCGAGTGAACGTTATATTTTTAGATTGCTTTTGCAACGGCCGCCGCCACCGCCGCCGGTTGACACCTGCTACTTTTTTATCAGCATCCAATGGCGAGCGTTCTCTCTTCAGAACGGCAATCAGAGGTTCGTCACGCTCCATTATTCTCTCCGGAGCGATGCCCGCCACCGATTTTACACGTTACATGCCTTTTTCACGGCTGCGTCTGGACACCTCGACGAAGGAGGGGTAACGAGATCGTCGCACGGTCGATTGATTATAAAAAAATTGCGAGCAGTAAGGTAAATACAAGTAGGTCATTTGAGATTCTATTGAGTGCTCTTTACTTTTGTTTATCGAACCAAATCATGTTCTCAAAGATTTTTATAAAATCCGTTTTACGAAACTGAAAAACAAATGTGTTGCTAACACATTAAATATTTAAATATTTCTTTTTTATGATATCATCAATAGATTTATAAATTCTTTTCAATGAGTCTTTCAGATGATGCTGAAACGCGCTGAAGCGATTCGACACACGTTTTATAAATGAAATTTTTTTTTATTTCATCGTATTAATATGAATTTTTCATATTTAAAATAATGTAATTTAACGTGTTACATATGTACCTAATATTGATTGGTTGGAAATATATATATTTTTCCGGAAAAGACAAACTAATATATATTCATTTTACTTGTTCAATCGACTGTAACGTGTCCGATTATATATAGATTTTACTACTACCTAATACACAACTGACATATTTCTCGAAAAAGTGTTTTTCGACAACCTTAAAAAAAAACACGATTTAATTTTTAATTAATTAATCAGTTTTTATAATTTAATTGTATAAAAACTATATAAAAAATTTTTATTTTTGACTTTATTTTTAACTAAAATATAAAAGATTTTTATTTTTTGTTCCATTTGAAATTAATTTATCTTGAACATAAATTTTTCTTTCGTTGAGACGTCAAGACGTGGAGAACGCAGAAAAAATAGATGATTCAAATCTAAATTATTTAATTGAAATCACTGTTTTGTATACATTAGGACCAACATCGCATATTATATCTAAAATCCTTTGACATTAATGGGATGCATACAACCTGAAATCGTCATTCCACAGTTCACGAATGGAATATCGCCGAGGATCCATTTCGGGTCATGTGACTTTCCTGGGAAATCCCTTAAAGCCGAGAGATCTCGGCGATTTCTTCTTCCCAAAGAAATCTATTTTCTGGAAGAAGGAGGCTCCTCGTAATTTTTTATTCCTTTCTGTGCTATTCATGCCTTTCCTATGTTTCAGATTAATGCAGCTTTATATGCAGGCCGCAAATTCTTAACGTGTATAATGCTGATTCCTGATTCTTGGAATTTAATATACGAAACATTTCGCGTATTTCAATATCTATGACAGATATCGTAATACTCGAGTACCCGAGCTATGTTTGCGCGGTGCAAATTAATTAAATACACTGAATTACGTTTCCAAAGATGTACAAATTCGATAAAATACGCGAATGTACGGTGTGAATCTTTAAATAATCTTATTATTATTCAGATTGCGCAGATATGAAAAAATTCAATTATCGGTCAAATTTTAAACGTATTTTTATACTGCTAAATGCAAAACTAGATACAGAAACATCATAGAAAACATGACACTCGATGAAATTTAAATATTTACTAATAATAATTCTATTTCTCAAAAGGGATGAAAGGAAATAATTTTTACGTCTCAAATACTTCTAAATCGATATGCTCTCACAGCTTGCAATCCCTCTCATAAGTCCAAAAATTCAATTCTTTTAATAAGTTCTCACCATCCTACTACGCCATCTTCTTCAGCGGTCAGAGATAGAGGAATGGACCTTTAATGAATCCGCGCTATTGATCGCCACTAAATTGAGAAAGCATACGCGTTCCTGTAAGAATTAAAGCGTCAATCTAATTTCCGCATAACTCCCATTTTGACTATCATATTTGAGAAATTTTATTAAATTGCATTTCGAAGATATATGTTACTAACATTACCAATGACTATTAATTACTAGAATTACCAATAATTAATTTTTTACTATTTAAGTATGCTATTATGTATATACTTTTTTTGAAAAAAGAAATAAAAGGAAAAAATTGATTGATTAGGATTTCAATAGATTATTTCGGCGAAGCTTATAAAGCATTCGATTCCATTGTTTTTACTTCGAATTTCAAACAATCTTGAATGTGTACTTTCGAGAGATCGAAAACATGCGAAGAAAAAACAATAACGACTGTCTTCTTTTTATTCACTTGCGTTTTTTGTCGTCGATTTAGATTCGTGAGCATTGCGAGCAATCGAATTTCGCGTACGTGCTCAGTCAGTTCAAGAGAGGAGAGTAGAGGATGTATCGATCTACAGCAAAACTGATGATCGACATTGTTCTTGTATGAAAAATAAATTCAAGTGAAAAACCAAACATGTGGACTCAACGTTTCCTCGATCTCGTGAATCGACGAATTAAATAAATATTTTTCAATCTGCGATGGGAGATCAAAAAAGCTTTCGTACAGATTTAATTGTGTAAATATTGCAATAAAGGTCATGGAAAATCTTAGAAAATGCATTATTATTTGTTGAAATTTAGACAATTTCAAAAAATTACATTACCATTTTGACTGCCTTGATTGTTCTAATTAATCAAGTTGCTTTGATAATTCTATGAAATTAATAAGCTAAAATTACTTATGAATTATATATATATATATATTTTCTCTCACATTGATTTCGCAGATTTTATAAGAAATCAAGTTTACAAAATATTATTTAACAATGTAAAATATATCTTGAAAATATATATGGAAAATTTTCGATATATAATAAATTGGAGATCCGGAGGATTAAAAAAAACTCGTTTCAGTGCTAACTCTCGTGATTGTGGAATGAAAAGAATTAATTTCCGATTTATGCTTATCCACGCGGCAAACGGGAAACGACGCAGGAGGATGCGACCTTCCTCAACAGTCTCGATGTCAGATATTCACGAGCACGGCACACAATGCGATATTATTACGCGCTACCTCGCTGCGCGGCAAAGTCGCCTGTCGCATATATGTCCGAGTTGTGTGTTCACGAGTGGTGTCCTCAAGCCTATGCACACGTGCGCGTTTCCACCTGCCCGCCCTCGTTGCCACCCATTTCATCGCCCTTCGAAGCTGCGCTTACGCTGACCTTGTTCCAGCTCCCAAGAAAAAGCAGGTTACGTGAAATTTCCACCCCCCCGAGAGCGCGACCTGCATTACTGTGTGAGGATGCATTATTTGGTCTTCACTTATCTTAACTGTCAGACGCGATAAAATTTATAGCGATCTGTTACAATACAGCATAAAATGGATGATCCGCAAGTTGTAAGTGAATATCTCTAACTCTAAAATATATTATGTGTATACAGAGAAAAATTGTTTGACTCGAAGGATTATTTTCTATTATAAAATGCATTTGAGAAATGCATTCAGAGTAAAACTTGAACATTTAAACAATACATCGGTAATAGACAAAGGTTCTCGCGTACATTATGAATTCCAATACGTTATAAATAGTTTATCGAGGACAGATTTTATATTGGCATTTACATATTTTTACACAAAACCGCTGATGTGACCTCGAAGCATTTTTATAATAAATTTTATTTTTAATTTTTCAATTATCTTAATTTCAATTCAAATATATACACGAGACACAAGGTCAAAGAAATTTAATTAATAATATTATGTGTTTGAAAAATAAAACTAACAAGTATTGTCTGCGCGTATTATTATCGACGTTGCTCATTACAGGAAATTTATTATATTTTATCGAATTCCATGCAGTTGATAATGCGGCTTTTATCTTGCGATTTGCATAAGATATATTTAAATGTTGGTCAATTTTATATTTCACACACAACATTTCTATTTAAAAATTATATTTCTTACAAGCCACTTCTTTATATTATATTTTTACTACAAAAAAAATAATTTAAATTAATTTAAATATCTAAAGATAAATAAATTACTTTATAAACAGCACGCATGTCCAAAATCAGAACATAAACTTGAAGATAAGATATTCTAAAGATGTTGTAATGACATTTTTAAGACGTTTTATATTTCGATTTTTAATATAATGCTATCTAGGTTATTCTTTACTCAATTTTTTTCAATCGAAATATAATATTGACAATCACTGATTATTTAATTAGCAAGATAACCTACAAACATCCCTTCTAACTAAACAAAGATAAAGAGTAATATTTATTCAATTTTTTTTTTAATATATATGTAAATAGCAGTTATATAATTTTGTTAAGATTTTGTTATATAGACATCTATATACAAAGTTGTCACAAATTCTTCATCCCAAAATTTTCTTAGCTTCCCCGATTTCCAATCAAAATTTCATAATTTTCCCTGCTTTTCAGTAATACTTATTTCAAAATTATATTTTTGACCTAATTTGGAAACCATTAAATATTTTGTTGAGAGATCAACTTAACATAGCAATATAAATTACTATTACTAGGTGGGGTGAAAAGTAACCTCCTTGGGAATGAAAAAAATTTTTTTCTTATGCAGAATCTCGCCCAAAATATGGCGTGTTCGCTCAGTACTAATCTTTGTAGCATCTGCTAGCTCGCGCACCTTCACTTTCCGGTCAGCCAACACCATTTCATGTATTTTTTTGACATTTTCCTCGGTAACCGCATCGGAGGGCCTGCCGCTGCGGACTTCATCGGTAGTGGAGTTGCGGCCACCACGAAACTCTCGAAACCAATATTTGACGGTGTAATCTGACGGAGTATTAGCCACATAATATTTATCCAACTTTTCTTTTGTTTCCTTCGCCGTTTTGCCTCTCAAAAAATAATGTTTTATGAGAGAACGAAAATCATTTTCGCAAACACGTCAACAACAATCAGCTCTCAAAACAAAACTAAGGGCAGTATCGCACTGCCACTTGGCATGTCTGCCTAAATGTGAACGGACTACAAGGCACCATAAACTTTTTTGCAGTAGTGGCACATTCTGGCGGTCAAGGAGGTTACTTTTCACCCCATCTAGTAATGTTGCTGATACTGTTTGTATTTTTAATTGTTAAGTTGGTAGTATTCCAAAACTGCTTAGGTATGATATACTTACCTTAGCCAAAAATATTGGGTCATCTAAAAAGTATCCGCGGTTTTTTGTCACTAGATGTGTGTTGATCATATATCTAGTGACAAAGTACCGCAGATACTTTTTAGATGACCCAATATTTGGTACCTTATTAACCATTATTTAAAATTTTAGCTCAAAAATTAATTTACATTTGCTATAAATTATCCTTTACTTCAAGAATCCTTTATCAAACAAGTAACAATGCAGAGATAAGATAATTACACACATACGCACACACACATACACGTGCGCGCGCACGCACACGCACAAAATTACACATATAATGCGCGCGCGCGCGCGCGTGTGCGTATGTGCGTGTGCGTGTGTATGTATGTGTGTAAAAACTTCGAAGCATTTGTAGTGCCAAATGGACCGCACCCTGAATATCATATAAATAAATTTGAAATATACTAGTAGCTATTAAATTAGTTACTAGTTACTGAAAAAAATGTAACTAAATTAAATTACAGTTACAAATGGAAAGGAAATAACGAAGTTAAATTACTGGAAAAAAGTAACTCTAACTTGTTACAAGACAGTTACTTCCCAATCCTGGGAAAATCTTATCTAGACTGCAATTCAATCGGAATTTTCTTAGTACGAAGCATCGTCTTGACGATCCCCCTTCTGAATGCTCCATTACTGTTTATTCCCTTGTGGTTTTATAGAACGGATATTCATCTTGTTCCGTGCACACGAGCTTCAGCGAGTTCTAATATTTACTCATGATTCGGACCGTGCTTATTTACACCGTGCACCGCGCACGTTCCGTTTTCATTCATTTTCTTGCGTACTTTCTCTGTCTCTCTTTTTTCTTTCTTTGCAGAAAATCTCGACCTACGTTCACGTCGGTCGTGAAACCCTCGTGAAAAGTATCTAACGATAGTGGCGCAGCACCAGCTTTTCCGCGGTCTACTCAAGACAGCAGTCGCGACCTGTTTTCCCCTGAGCTTCTCCAAGATGAGTTATGTTGGAGGAAAGTTCGAGCGTACACACACAATCGTACCCATGATACACGCGAACTACCCTTCCTTCTCGCCCTTCTCATCCTTCTCGATCATGTCTACCAACCTCCCTCATTCTCCATCCGTCTCGCGTCCTTCCGTCTCTTTCGCTTCTTCGTTTCCGACTCTCTTTTCCGTCTCACTTTCGCTCTCCCTCGACCGCTCTTAGCGCACCCTTCCATGCTCCTTCTTGCTCTCACAGTTTCTCTCTCTTTCTCTCTTTCTCTCTCTCTCTCTCTCTCTCTCCCTCTCTTTCTCTTTTGCGTGCATTCTCCGTCCGTTTCCACCCCCGACCATCGACGTTCCACGTTTATCGAACCATTGCGCGCGCACCGATAACAGTAACGGGGCGTGCTACGTCTTGGTTGGCCGTAGACGTAGGTGGTGGACGCACGGCCGACCGACGACGACGAGGACGACGGCGGCGACGTCGACGTCGCCGAGGACGAGCGTAGTAGACTACCAGCGAAACTCGCCGCGCGAGAAATAGTTCGCCTGCCGACGCAGTAATCAGTCGTTCTCGCAACGTTCCTGAAGAAGCGTGCGCGTTGTGTTGTTATTTGCATCGTTCGCAAAGTCCGTCGCGAAAGCCATCGTGAGTTCACTCGAGGGAGATTCTACGAGTACAGCTTCGAGGTATCGTTCGAAGCTGTAGCAAAACGCTGAATTCGAAGAAGCATATGAAATAAATCGAAGAGGTTAGCGCTGAGAAGAAGGAGGATTGTGGATCGTTTGTGATATCGCTGATCAAAGACCCGATAAGCAAAATACCGAGTTTTAAAGGCGAGCGGTACTTTCGGATCGTGAATCGCGTTCGAGAAAGTGTTTTGAATGTGCGTTGATAGTGCTTCAAGAGTGCAGTTCGAGAAAACGTCGTCATATAGCTGTCTGTAAAAGCGAGTAGACGACACGCAAAGGACAAGAGTCAAAGTATCAAGTAGGGTGTTTCGGTGTATCAATCCAGTGTTTTCGTTCACTTGGCCCATCCTCCCTCCGAGAGGCGGAGGGCGGTAAAACATCGATCGCTCGCCATTTTGCGCGACGGCCGACATCTTTTGCGCGCATCGACGACATCTTGCCGCGTGACATCTTCAACAATACGGAAGTTACAGAGGCTGCAGACCTACATTAAGTGGAAGGGCCAGATTATTCACGTATATAGTTCTTGAATACATCTCATTCTCTCTCTTTCTCTTATCGATCATCGTAAACGACCGTCATATTATCTGTAACATTCTCCCATCGCGGAGAGACTACGCAAAATTTCGCATAGTGTGATAAGAAAAGAAACAATTTGGCAGAGAAACAGGAAATAAATCGGAGCCCAACGTTGCGGGAGGAAGAAAAAGTAGTGTCCTTCAAGTCGAAGGTAGAAATCAGCAGGCTGGGAGGTCGGTTGAGTGAGGTGGTGGGTCCCGTCGTGGAGGAGGCCATTGAGCCAGGGGATGCGACCCCGCTGACGGGACCCTCGAGGGAGACCTCGGTTCCTCGAGCACCCCCGCCGCAGCGTGTTACCCCAAGTCCGCCGAGACCACCGCCCGCTACGTCTCAGCATCACGAGAATCCGGGTCACCCGACCCACAATCCGGGACACCAGTCCCAAAATCCCGGGCATCACAACCCGGATCACTCGCCCCACAATCCGGGTAATCTCGGCCACAATTCTGGTCACAATCCCGGTCACCAAACTCATAATCCAGGCAATCCCGGCCACAATCCGGGCGACTCCGGTCACAATCCGGGCAATCCCGGTCACAACCCGGGCAATCCGGGCCACAACCCGGGTAACCCCGGCCATAACCCAGGTCACAACCCGGGTAATCCCGGCCACAACCCGGGTAATCCCGGCCATAACCCAGGTAACCCCGGTCACAATCCGGGTAATCCCGGTAACCCGGGCCATCCAAGCCCCGCTGACCAAGACCAGAATCCCGCTGACCAGCCGGCACAAAATCCCGGCCATCCGACGAGTCCAGGACGAGAAGCTCCTCATCCACACGTGAGTCGTCAGCCAAGTCAGAATCCAACTCAGCCGACACAGAGTGGCAGGGAGCAAGCACAACCGAGTCAGCAGCAACAACCTCAACCGCAACAACAACAACCTCAGCCGCAACCGCAACCACAACATCTGGAGCGTAGCACCAGCACTATGGGGACCGTATTGTCATTCAGTCCACGAGATCGTCGGGGGTCTGTTTACCCGCCAACGGGGCATCAACATCCTGCTGACTTCACGTTAAACAACTTTAATTACGAGCAGCTAAACAATGCGAAGAATCGCGAGAACAAGAGCAGCGTTGCAACGGTGGCACCGGCGCCACCCACGAATCATCCACCGACCAACAACAACTCGTTACAGAACAATAACATTAACCTGAATAACAACGACAACGCGAGGATTATCTCGGAGAAGAACGCCCTAGAGAAAAACTTGAAGAAGCATTCACTGTTCATAAATGCTTTGTCGTGGAAGCGATTCAGTACGACCAACAATAACAAGAAGAAGCTCGACAACAAGAACAAGAACCTCGCCTTCAGGCAACCGCTCGATAATATACCTATTGTTGATAAGAATAAAAATATACAGACGCCACAGGTGAGTGCTCATAGAGCGGAAAACTTTTATTCTTTCTCTTCGATAGACGCTTCTTGTGATTCTGTTTTGAAAATTGATAAATTAGCATATTTAATAAATAAAATTTATATACAAAAAATCATATAAAAATAAATAAAAAGAACAAGCATACTTTAACAAAATTTCATTTTCATAATAAAATGTAAATTCAATCAAATTCAACATCAAAGCTACAATAAAAGTTTATTTAGAAATACGTATAGTTTTTTTGCTTGTATCGATAGCATTTAATTATTAAAATTAATGAAAGTACTTCCCATCACTTGTAAAACGCTACGAATTAATTCCAACACCTAATATTATTTTACATAGAAAACAAATTTATTTCTAAATTTATTTTTTAATTTAAATTAAACTTAATTGCGCACGTTTAAAATAGAAATTACTTATTCAAGTTAAAAACTGTTATATATATTTATAAAAATACATTTTTTTTTACTGAAGAGTTTTATATATAATTACGTAACAATATACTATTTGTTATATAATGTAATATAACGCGATAATTTTTAATAACAATTTAAGATTTATTAATATTACATATAAAAAATAGATTAACAACAAGAAAAAATATATATATTGAATATAACACGTCTCATTGCTTGTTGTGTCTAGAGAAGTCTAGAGACCATTAACGAAGGGTAGATTTGCAGTATAAGGAATGAAATATACAACGTGCTTTGACCCCCCAGACACGATCGAAAGCATATCGATCGTTTTGATGTCTCTTTCACGCAGCACGAGTTGTTTCTTTATAAATTTTCAATCTATCTACTAAAATCATAACTGCTTTAAACATTCAGTTTATTCTTAACGTTAGATCATTGGTTTTTACGATTTATTTAAACTGTTCATTCAATATCAGTAAAATGTAAAATATATAAATATTTTATCACAATCTATCTCATTTACTTTATTAAACTTATTATCAGTGCCGTTTTTTTATAAGAAATGCTAAATAAAGTTTGCAAAAAGTTATCACATTACATTAGTTAAATTAATACGCAGTTATTATAAAAGTCACAATGTTAATAAGTATGTGTTCAAATAATATTTAATATAAAATATTATTAAATATAAGATTTAGAAGAATATTATTATGTTGATTATATTGAGAGAATTATGTATTAAAAGTTGATCTTTTTAATTAGACAAAACCACCGGCGTCAAACAACAATCACACCACGCACAATCCGACGTGTGAGAAATTGATGCAGAAACCCCTGCCCCCTGGACCAAGGAAAACTGTTATCCAGGCCTCCACCTCGGAATTGCTCAAGTGCCTCGGCGTCTTCCTGCACAAGAAATGCACCCGTTTAAGGGACTTCCAGGCCGGCGACGCTGTCATGTGGCTCAGGACTGTCGACAGAAATCTCCTGCTTCAAGGCTGGCAGGTGAGGTTGCCATTTTTGCAAAACACTGTCAACAGAAATCTCATGCTTCTTAAAATTATTGCTTAAATTATAAATGAACAAACATTTGATTTAAATACGTATTACATTGAAAAAATGTTTGTTTTTTTACGATATTCTTTTCCGACATTTTTATTTAACGTTAAACATTTCATTTATAAATAATCTTTAATGAAAAGAAATGGAAAGAAATATGAACGTAGTAATGAATGTTTTAAAAAACATTTGAATAGTAATTCAATATTTTCCAAACAAATCTCTGATACTTGCTTAATAATAAACATTTTCATATGCTAGATAGTTAACGTGCTTCATAAAATATACTCTCCGATAATATAATTATCGCGGGCACTGGTTCAACATTAATTAATATATTACTCCTGCGGTTATTTCGCTATCGTTGTAATTGGATAATTAAGACACCAACAGCACAAAGTAATTAACTCTTGCTGATTGAACTGCTATGATTAACGTCGATATATGCAAGTTACAAAATCCATACAGTATATATATATATATATATATATATATATATATATGAATATTTAAAAAAATAAAGTTCAACAGCTAATATAAATACTGTATTGATTTGTGACAAAATATGGATAATTGTTTTTTTAAACAAACTGCCATTTTATTTGACTGTTATTGAAGTATTCCGAAATACAACCATGATCCCATTAAAGAATACGAATATTTGTCTTCAATGCATTAAAAGTTTCCCTGAAGGGACTATCATTACAAGTGGGATGATAGTCCACACGTGTCACGGAGAAAAGGGCTCCAGTCGTACTGAATTCTCCGGGATGTGGATAGCGTCCCATGGGAATACTCATAATAAGAGTCATCTAGGGCATGCAATATGTTAGAAAGGGAATTAAGCGAACTTTTCACGAGACAAAACTGAGAATTTCCATTTGGATGAATTGTAACGGGAATCGACTTAAATTTGCATCGCAATAAGAGAGGGTAGTGAATTGTAATGTAGGATTTTGATTATATATTTTCTTATTGTGAGTCATCCGATTGAAATGCTAAATTATAATACACTTTTCCTAAAATTGTTTTAATGGAGGAAAAAGATGAATGCAAAGGTTTAGAACAAATATTATAAATTTTTTCTGTCTTATTTTTAAATTGTTAAATAAAATATCTTTTTTCATTAAGAAACAAGGTTTTGTAATGTAACCTACTTTTTCTAAAATGATTTTTAGGTAATTATTTTTTTTTACAAAATTGCTTGCTACAATTGTATTTGAAAATTAATTGTCTTCCAAATTTGTTTGTTTCTCAGAATAGTTTTTGAATGTCTTTTTTCAGATTACCTAAACTACGAATTATATCAAAGTTTCTTTTTAGCAAAGTTTTTTTTTTTTACTTACTATTTTTGATCTACAAATTCGATATCGTGAGTTTTATTGCTTTCAACAAAATTGAATCGTTATATCATTTTCTTTTAGAAGTAAATCATAATCAATCAAAAATATTTGCTCGTGATTTCAGTCGGCGCTGGTATTTGATTCGATTATGAATTCAACATTTATGTTAATGGGACTATCGTGCACGATTGCGACCTATGCAAATTGCACGGCCCCTATAAGACTCGCCTTCTCCGCTCGTAGAAGCTATCGATCAAACTAAAAATATTTCAGTCCGATAGTCAACTGACGTAGATGCCCGCTGAACTTAAAAATACTATGTAACTATTAATAATACAATGCAAAAATCTGCGTTGTTGTTTATCCACTTTGTGCCTTTGTCTTTATGTATTGTATCATCCGCACGCTACATTAGTTTTCACCACAGAAGCCGAATTTTCCTCGACAAGCATTGCAAATTAAAGTTTCGAACATTTTTTTTTAATTTGGTAAATAACACTTTTAAAATTGTTTTATAAGTTGCTTTAATTAAATTTGTTGCTACAAGAGAGAGAGAGAGAGAGAGAGAGAGAGAGAGAGCACATATACACACATGTGCATGTATGGTAAAAGACAAAACTTTTTAGAAGCATGAAAAAACCTCTTTTGATAGCATATTATTGGACGTTTTTTTAATAAATAAAATACAGGCCAAACATTTCTAGCGAACGCCTGTTATACTTTAATACAATCACCTTAGTGAAAAGATTGATTTAACCTTTTTAATCATATCATAAAAGAGTTGACGTACTGCAATTGACGTAAAAATGACCGGTTCGATTATGCGAAGTAACCAAAATAAATATATGAAAAAATAACTAATGCATTACCACGATTGTTCAAAACGCGTCTATATCGTTAACGCCGTGCACGAAATGGTTAATTATCTATCGATCAATTGGCAACAATTTTTTTTACTTGCTTTATAACGAAAGTCATTATCGATTAGCATATCGTGCAACCTTCAGCAAACCGCAGTGCTTGTGAAGTTTCATGGAAAACAGTACGCGAAATGCGCCGGTAATAATTCCAGTTCGTTGCGGCGACGATTCTCCGTTCCTGTGGGTGGACTTTTTTCATCGTGAGTGACGTCCCAATTGTTGCGAACAATTGCGCATTGTCGGCATCAACCGACACGTTTATCCTTGAGCTAAGGTAGCTTTGAAGAATATCTTGTTATAATTAAACTCACTGATGTTCGGACAAGCACAGCGCATTATGATTTTGTGTATTTCGCGCTTGTATTTTAATCTTGCATCTACATCAGAAAATATATTTGTTAAATAATTTCGCCAAAGTCATTTAAATGTAGTCGTTGATGAAACAGATGTCCACATATAACAGCTAATATATTTATCCTTATCTTATTTAAAGAAATATCACAAGTACATTTTTTAACGAAATGGAAAATTCATTAAAAACATACAGATTTTCTTGTATTATATTTGAAAGTAATATAAAAAGTTTGTAGCTGTAATGTTTATATGAAAAGTATAAATTTTCAATTACAATCACTTTTTGTAGAAATCACCGTACTTCTAATATATCCTTAAGATATTTAAGAATTAATCTAATGTATTTTTTTTAATATGTATAATTAGTACAATATTAGAATAAAAAAAATATACGTCTTTTCTTCCTCTTTCTGTAAAATCTATACGATTTATAATCCATTTTAGAATGAAAGAAATGTAAACATTATTTCACATCACAAATTCGCCCTGTTATTTCCGAGAATTCATTTGGCGGTGTATTTTGTCATTTACGATAATTTGCGACATATTATGACATTCGCGTGCTTCAATCTACTTTGTAGGGAGGCGTCGAAGACGGTCCATAATAAAGTGCTTTTGCGTAGACACGCTCCCTAGCAACGTCCCTGCGCTCATCGACATCGATTTCTCTCGTCGATAAATTCACACGTAGAACTGGCAGGACGAGTGAGATAACACTCGGTCTTGCATCCAAAGATGAAAGAGTCCGCGTTATCTTGATGCCCAGAAAACGGCTCACTAACGACCTAGGCTGTCTTTTTCTTGCTACCCGTCTGATTGCGTGCTCAAGTTCTTATCGAGAACATATCTCTCTGTGTTGACTTAGGATTCTCCAAGTTTTTTTTCTGAACGATGAAATAGTACTTTTATATAATAATATGATTAACGGAATGTCTGTAAATAATTACGTAAAAATATATTTATACATTTTATTGATATTATCGAGTTGAACAAATTAATTACTTTTATATAACAAAATTATTAGCAGAATATTTATGAATAATTGTAAAAATATACATACTTTATTAATTATTATATTATCAATCAAGTTAAACACATTGCTTTTTATTTTATCAACTAATTGTAAATACTAAAATGATAAAAACATTCTATTTTCGCTGTGACAATTTTGACATTTTTAGCATTTTCAGAATACTTTTTTTGTGAATTGTCAGTCAAATGTCGTGTAAACAATTAAGAAATAATGAAACAATTAATTATTCATTTTCTACACCTAATGTGTAGTGACCATAATTTACAAAACAATTTTAATATTTTAACGTATTCTAATTATTAAAATAATTTTCCTTCTATCAAACCACCGGTGAAAAATATATTTGAATTAAGTATTTTTTAATTTATTCAAATATATCGTTTTTTACATAAAATAATATAAATGATATAAATTTTTTTATTACAAAATTATTTTTATTATTATATTATAGAAAATTTATAATAAAACAAACGTTTTATCTTATGTATGTTTTGTCTTTTGTAGAAATAAAAAATAAATTTTATTTTATTTATGTTTTGCTAGTAGAAGTAAAAAATTAATTGCATAAAAACACAATTTACAAGCAATTTCTGACGGAAAAGGTATTTAATTATTTGCTTTCTTGGAATACTATTAATACTATAGGTATATGTGTGAATTCGTATGTGTAAAAATCAATACACCGGACATTTCCGTGACACACACAATGCAACACAAATGTACAGGGGAGATATACTTGCAGATATAGAAAAGAATAAGCTATTTATGCGTTCAAGTGCATTTAATTCTTGAAGGCTCGTGTAGGTAAACATACATGCACGGTTTTTGTTATCAATTCGTGCCCTGTAACAACAGCTATCGAAACAAATCGATTTTCAGCCCTTAAATCTTTCGACTATCATTCTTTTGATTACGTAGTTCGAGTTTACCCTTAAAATAAGCTTATTTATTTTGATCTTACTTAAGAGCACTGACCGATGTTTAAATATCTCAACTTTTTCTTGTATAAAAAGATTATATCAGATAGAAGAATAGAAGATATATTATGCCATGACATGATTTCTTTGCGATGCAATACAAATTCTATTTCCAGCAACAAAATATATATTAAGCAGACATTTTCTTACTATAATTCTCTTCAGAATAAATTATATATTACACATATATTAATAATATACTGTTAATTCAATATCTCTCTTTTTAATTCTATAATATATAGCTTAGTTAATATAATATATGTAGCGTCAATTCATATCATACTTTAATTTATATTAAATTAATTATGTGTAATTTAGT